ATTATTTTTAAATTGTCATATACGTTAACAACCTGCATGTTAACCTGGCCCGTACATGCGTTGCACTCTATCTTCATGTCTTCTACATTTAGAAATCATCTGAATCGCCTTTAACATTTCTCAATAAACCCATCATAGTCGTTGTTGCTATATGTATTTGGGTTTATGAACTGGTTTATCATATTAGCAGCCTAAAAGACGGACGTAGTTTAGATAATAAAATTACAAATTTAGGTACTATCAACTGCACTAGTAAATTAACTAAATCCCTAAGTAGTTGTTGGCTAAACAAACATTTAAAATCAAAACTCCGGAGCCTACTAAAATTAACACTAAACGAATATTTTTGAATTGAAGCTCATAATATAATAGGGTAGCTCTGATTTTTTAACGCTACAAACTTCTGCTATTTCAGAAGCACATAAAACAACAATACCTATTTTTCCACTGGCTACTGTTCAATCAACACTATAACTAGTTAAACATAATTGTTTCAGGATATCGTCATAAAGCATTTTCATGACTTAACAGTCACGTAATATGATTGATAACATTGATGAAGCTATTAGCGAAATCGATCAGCAAATTGACTTATAATTACCATTAAATAGTGTTGTTTTTCTTTTATCTTCATTCACTACAGATGATTACAGTATGTTTCTCTATCACTTGCCCATTCAGTAAATATCTCAAAACCTTGTCGGTCTTATTGATGGTTTAGCGACACAATCATGCATGCAAATAATCAGTATAAGCAGTCGAGCAAACCTCCTGTAAACTGAAAACATCAATGTCGAATTTACCCCAACACTGACTAAGGTTCTAGCCATTATCATAGACATGAGTTGGGAGTGTACTCCCCTTGGTTACAACTTATGTTCTCCTTGATAATCACATGAGCATCACTTACTATTAATCATCTTGTAAAAATACATCTTGCAGCACCACATCACTTAGTAATATGACACATAGGCTTAACTGATTTCAATAACTTTTAATCACTATATCTCAATTAAATCGTATTCCGTCTTATACTAAACTGCATACTTGCAACTAACTTGTATGCCGGTAGGTGTGAATATAAATAAATAGTCTATGGCAATGCAGAACATTGAGTCTAGAGCATGTCTCTTACGAATCACTAATGTATTAGTGCTATTACTAAATTCTATCACGATGAAGTAAAAATGAGGTCGAGAAAATCTCCTCATAATTAAATGGACCGCACCAAACTAACTAGAACACTAGTTGGAATTCTTCTCCACTGTAGTGCTTTTGTTCTTTCGGTTGGTCTACTCATGCAGATGCAATTGGAAATCAACTCATATGGACAGCTTACCGTCATAAACGTTCTTTGACTTAATAATTTAACCCAAAAATAGTACCAGTACTAACAGTTCTACAATATTGATTATTTTTTATATTTCTAAACGCAGAATACTTGTACTACCTATAAGTTCACCATTAAAACAGACATTTGAAAGTTATTGCATTTATTTCCCAATCAGTTACTGCCGTCTTCCTGATTGATCTTTCAGTTTATCAAAACCCGGAGGATTCTTCATCATCACGTTCATTCTGGTAGGAGAGTAGTGTAGTGGCATTAGGCCCTAACCACAGAATCCTCAAAGCTGAACGCGAGACAACTAGGAAACTAGATACTCGACATTTAATGTGACGAAAAACCCAACGATGGAGAAGCCAGGGAGAATGAATTCGCTAGGTTGAATTGATCGGATGGCATGACTCGATCTTACAGGCATGATCTTACTTATGTAACGTTATTTTTATCCACATAAAATATATTGTTCTATCTCCAGCCTAAATGTGTTCTTCATCACGTACTGATGATTGTTACAACGCAGTCAATCAGGGTAGATAATAATGTGACTTCTACGTAAGATCTTATATATTAGACAGTCACATCATAACAAATCTACAATTTCAGGATTAAGTCTATTATTAGAGCAGTACTAATATCATAGTAGACTTAAGTTCCATAAAAATACGTCTTGCATCCATATTGCGACGACTGAAATTCATTTTCGACATTAAACGCGGGACTTCAACTTAATAGCCTTCAGAAATGATAATAAAATATTTCTGACAAACGTTTATATGTCATTTTTACGGGTATGAAAATTAGTATATGAGGATTTACAGAGCGATAAAACAGTGATGTTGTCAAAGGACAAGACTGGCAAATCAGTGAACCTCGGAGGCGGTATATTCGTGAGATTTACTTACTTACATACTTACTTACTTTCCCATGCCTGTTACCTCTCGTAGAGAAGCATAGGCCGCTCACCTTCATTCTCTACAAAATTCTGTCCTGGATAATCCTCTAGAGTTGCTTCCAGCTGTGTTTCATCCTCTTTATTTCGGATTCCGAGTCTCAAAGTACTGCATTCCTCGGTTGTTCGCTTTCCCGTTTCCAAGCTGTCCATTATGTTCCGTGATTCCATCGAGATATGGAGGTCCTCATAACCCAGTTAACCACCAGAAGAGAAAGGCAAGAGTTAGCAGACTTGTCTGACTCCGATCTTCACTTGGAATGCGTCTATCAGCTGTCCTCCATGCACGATTATGAATTGTAGTCCGTCGTATGAATTCCACATCACGTTGACGATTTTCTCGGGTACTCTGTAGTGTCGAAGAAGGTTCCATAATTTTCTCCCAACCACGTTGTGAAGTGCGTTCTCATAGGCAAGGGAGTTTATGTATGGTGACGAGATCCAGTTGATTGATTGTTCACGATGATCCGTAGTGTTATGATTTTGTTACTGCACAACCTATCCTTGCGGAATCCGATCTGATGACCCCTATTTGGGCGTCTGCCGAGTCCTTCATCCGGTTCAGCAACACTCTGTTGAAAACTTTTGCTGGTACTGACAGTAGCGTGATGATTCTGTAGTTCTCACATTGGCTCAGATCTTCTTCCTTTGGCATGTAAATGAGGTGTCCTTCTTACTGGTTCATCGACACTTGTTCTGTGGTGTCTGCTACTGATGTCAACAGATATAAGTGGTATGTATTATTAATCGGAAGTGATGTGCCTGGTGGTAGAATGTTAATAAAATCGGAGAAAATAGGACGACGACAGAGAGTGGTTGATGTGGAAACGAAGGAATGGTCAAGTCTGAGACAATTGATTGATATTTAGCAAATGAAGAATTTATTCTATGCTTCCAAGATTTTACAAAGAGTTTTCGCAATTTTCGTTCGCATACATTTGGTTACCCCCACCCGTGTTCTCCTTCACTACAGTTTTTCTCTCAAATCTTCCTGAATAGAACGTTGAGCATGTTTTCAGTCACTTCTATGCCTCACTTCAATGCTTCATCTGGTATATTGTCAGATCCTTCTGCTTTCCCATTATTCTTAACTTTTCTAATGGCCATCTCGATTTCTTCGATTTTTGGTGGAGTGATATCTATGAGATCTACGCGTGCTGTTTTGATGTGCAGTGGGTTCAGTGGGACTGGTCTATTCAAGAGTTCCTTATAGTGTTCTATCCATCTATTCAGGTGTTCTTGAATCGCAGCGATTGGCTAATCGAGAACCACAGACCAATGAATATTACCCCTTTTATGTCATACTTAATAGAGAGTGATAAAATATCAATCTTCTGATTTGACTGCTTACTTAAAGAAGCCCTAATGACGTCGTTAAAATTCTGTTCTACACTACTCGTCTGATTGACTTTTGAACGAGCTTACCTACATTCATGACCAAAGGCTACTAGTGGTCCTACTGCATTTCATATCAAGAAAGCCTTTAACAAGGCCACTCATAATCTCATTTAGTAACAAACGTCAGTCTATTGGAATTATTAACCATGTCATTATTATTATTGGCTTTATTCAATATCATATTTCGGTACAATATAGAATTCCCAGAACAAATCGGATGTCGCTGCCAGGATGTTTTGCAACTGACTAAATCGTTATTCCCGAGTAGATACCAAACAACCAAAATCAACTCTGCGACATCTACACCTCAAAAATAACCAGTGGTGTTATGAAGGGTAGTATGTTGTGCACACTGCTTTTCACAATCTACATCAACGCTATAAGCACGGGCATCGATATGAGTAATACCTATCTCTATATTGTTGACATAAATGTCAAATATAAAAATATCACTTGTGGTGTATAAAGTATTACACAAATAATTCAGTGGGAATCCAAGAAAGCAAATAACTGGTGCAAACGCCGAGCTTGGAACATAACGATGATCATATGCGGCTGGCTATGTGATACAGAAAATTCGAAATAAAACTCACTTTTGTTAAAATATATTGCCAAAACGTATCTGCAACTGACCGAGTGCACTACTCAGACGGTTTAGACTTCTCTAAAAATATTGCTAAAACTCTCCCGGTATTATCTGCCGTAACCTTTTTCAGAATTACTTTAGTATTATTTTCTACAGGGTGTGTGTGTGAGACCTATCATTAAATTCTTCTCGTTCTTATTTTCCAACTTAATGTTTAAAACCGATTCATCTATTAAGTATTCTTCCCTACTCCGTACCTTAAAACTTGAACTCCCTTGAGAAGAAACTCAGATTCAACGCTCAAAAACTTTTCTCAGAGGTCACATTGCAATGCGCAGACTTTTCAAGTCATGACTTTTTACCAATATTTAGTCTTTTTCTACTGCTTGCATGGGAATGTGCGTACTTATGTAAACCATCGCAACGACTAATTCAAATTTCCAAACTGTTGCTGGAATTCGCCCTTAATGACCATCGACTTGTGTACTGAATCAGGACGTTGAAATCTTGTAATCTTTCTTTACCAGTCACACTTTTTACTAGTCTACGAAGTTTATTGTTCTTATTTTGGCTTCACATATCACGAATTCTATCTAAAAGTCCCGATGGTTAGTCGGTAACATTAAAAGCACTTTTCTGATTGAAAATCTCGTCACTTCGTCAATAACTATATGTATCAACATGAAAAGGTTGAACGTGTTTTAATACACCACAAATGATGTATTCCGCCTTGGAAAGGTCGAGTCAGACGTTTGATGTTTAATGCTTGCTTACCTGTTTAGACTGTGTTTCTAGTTGAGGATATATATCTATTTTATAATCACCAATCAGTAAACAGTTATGGAGTGGAGTGAACAGTACGCACAATCAATGGCCAATATTAAACCCGAGAATTTCGATATGGGATCAGTAATTAAACAAGAAAACTTCGATATGGCTGTTGTTTCTCAAAATGAGTGAGTTTATTCTGTCATTTATATTATTGTTAGTGTAATGGTCTCCATGTCAAGCGACGGGGGTACGACAATTCTTTCTTCAGGAGAAATGAGGTAAGAAATGTTCTGTATGAGGCTGTTTCTTTACGTTGGTATGATGAAAACAAGCATTTACTGGGTCCGATTTTCTTATTTGGTCGCTTGAGTATTGTTCAGAAACGTTTGAGTATTGTCGGCAAAGACGAGACAATAATATGTGACGACTCTAGTACTGTGGTGCAGCTAGGATGCACGTCCACTACGTATCAAAAGGATTGAGATTATGCATTCTTAATCGCTATAGTATTAGTCATCAGTGGTATTTAAATTATTTCATTCATATCCATCGTTATGTCGCACATCAAGCTGCTGTTCTGTCTTGTCAGTGTAAATTATTTTACTTGCGGAATTGACCTAAAGAAATTACTAAAGTAATGAGGTAGGGATAATGAACATTCGTCTTCGTGTAAAATGGACAGGATAATATCCATCTAATTGAAACCTTTAGAGAGTAAAAATTGTTTGCGTAGCTTGTAAATAAGACTTTAAATTAATCAAACTTGTACCAAGTCTTGTGAAGTACATTCTGAATGGCTAAAAAGCTTCCGTTCCCATGTAGTTACTATAAATCTAACCTTCCGGTACCTCAGTACGATAAATTTATTTTAAAAATCTGTGCTCACTGTACTTTGGTCATTTATTTGTTCCTTCTGTATATGTTAGTAGTTAGGTGTTCTAACCAACTAGTTAATGTTCTGGATATTTGACTAGCTTCATCATTGTTATATTAATTTGCTCACGGTTAAACTGGAGTACCTACTGCTCAGCATAGAGCCCCGAACAAGTGTGCACCTGTTCGCGTTGCTGCATCACATCAGGGTAGTAAAGTGAAATTATCAGAATAAATGCCCATTGAGGCTGCAAATACACATAAGTAAAAATCTAGCTAATTAACCACGTACAAGTTTGTGTGAGTTGTTAATGTCACCCGAATGTTTAAATGGAAGTACATGAGGTGTGTTTCTAACTTGTGATTCAATAGTACAGATATGAAGGGATTAATTATTAAGCTACCACCTAAGCTCAAGACTTATGGCACTTCCAAAGAATACACATTCATCGGGAAAACTATAATTTATGGATGAACCTATCAGATTTAAGATAATTGGTCTTGGATTTGGACATGAAATTAATTCATCAGTATGGCTGTATAACATTTTGGCATTATAGCTGTTGTCAGTTCGTGTCAAAACCCTAAGTCTAACCCCTAACCCTAATCTCCAGCTGTAAATCCTAATCCTTATTCCTTACACTAATCCATGGTCCTCATTTAACTCCTGTAAGTAGGTACAATTCTCAAGGTAAAGGTCATCCATAAATTATGGTCTCACTCATTCATCAAAAATGAAGTGTAATTTTCGGCAATATACGTTTTAAAGGTTGTGGGACGAGTAAAATAACATCTACGTATAACTTAAACAGTAGTGCTTCTCTGCCGTTCAATCGTGTATCCATTTACTCCATTTATTGAGGTTTCACCATTATTCCCTCGAACTTATCCTCTTCTTTCAAACTATATTCTTCAGTGTTTAGTCTTCCCTATTATGATTGATTCTGCTGTTAATTCGACTTTTCTTATTTGCCTCGTTTTGCTAATTATGGCACGAGGACTTGGGCTGACATATTTGCCACAGGCTTTTTGTCAGTTATGACTAACTTGATCGTCTGTCCTGTGTGCACAGTAACGCAAACAAAACCTTGTCGACTTGCATGACTTAGCTATGCTTATGTGTTAGAGTGTCGTAGAGTGTAGTCAAGAAACGTCCTCAGGAATCATTAAGAGTCGAGATCTTCAATATATACGAAACGTATGTGGTATCATTTGTCCTGGGAATTATTCTACAGAGTTCCTGTCAAAACATTAATGACTTTTTTAGCTTGACTACCATTCACACACCATGTGATCACTAAATTCTAAGTTTTATGGGAGGAACATTAATAATACAAAAGTAGCTCAGCAAATTCAACTTAAAACCTTCAGGTACCTAGAACATCGGGAAGTTTCATGTTTTTTTTTAAAAAATTTGTTTCCCAAACCTATTTTTACACTTCCAACTGCTAAAGTCAGCTTTCAGTTAATCATTTCCTGCTTTCTCTTAGTAACGGGATTGTACAAGTTCCGTCAAGTGATGGACTTATGGGTTCTCCATCGGCGAAAGAAATTGAACGTTTCAATAATCTTTCCGAGGAGGAACTAAAAAACAAATCCCTTCCTGACCACCTAAAAGAAGGACTTGATATTGTTATAGTGGGGATTAACCCTAGCTTGGCCTCAGCACACGTTGGACACCATTATGCTGGTCCTGGAAATCATTTCTGGACATGTTTATCACAAGCTGGTTTGGTTCCAATGGCTGTCAGTTGCTATGATGATTCTAAAATGTTGGATTACGGTATCGGATTCACTAATGTTTGTACAAGACCAACCAAAGGTGCAGCTGAACTTACACGTAAGGAGATGAAGGCTGGTGCAGCAATCATGCTTGAAAAAATGAGAAAATACAAGCCAAAGATTGCCGTGTTCAATGGTAAAGGTGAGTTACTGCCACCAAATCAGGTTTTGTTATTTTAAATAGTACTCACTGTTTTATGTAGAACCTGACACGTGCTCATTTAAGGTGGCGTGCTGCATTAGCATAACCAGACGAGATTATAATAAAATTCCAAGAGTAAGTACGGTTAGTAATGATATTAGTAATTCTACTACTCTGGTATGCTTCATCTCTCTGTGCTAATGTGATGTAGTAACTTGAACCAACATACATATGTCCCAGGTTCTTTGTTACGTACGACTGACTAATTTTACTTATTTTTGTAAAACTACTGATATTCGTTTGCTGTTAACAACAGTAGAATAAGGCAGTGACTTGATGGTTGGAGCTCTTCCCTTATAACCACAGTGTTGCATGTTCGAACTCCAAATCACCTTATTTAAGTAATATCACTAGCTATTATAATGAAAAAGGTAACTCAAATATAAATTCTAAAACGCTTACTTGGGTGCTAAGTCATAGTAAACAGGAATCAACCATTTTAATTTTCACACTGGACGTAATTAGATATGCGTGTTTCTGGATATTCAAAGGTGATGGGCGCCTCAAATACGCACCGTAAAAGTTGTATCCCAGTGAAATCGTAAGAATTTTGAACCACGAAAGTCTGCTATATATAGCTTCGTGCTTTCTTCCTAAACTTTAATGCCAGTAAAACAAAGTTGTTTAACAAGACGAATTGTAAAATTTTCAAGTTACTCTTCATTAGCTCCACGTTACTAATATATTGATGTGACATTACTTGAAATATTGGTCATTCGAGGAAATATAACTTGTTTTCATCATATTTTAGTACAATCTCATCTTCAGATCTCTTTTATATGGTAATTAGAATCATAACAGTACTTACTTTTTATTCTGATCATCTTCACCTGACATTTATAAAGTATGATTTGAAAGAAACTAGTATACATCATAAGTTAAAGCGGTACCATTTGTTAAGTTTGTTATGATAAGCTTCGTTTTAGTTATGAATATGAACACTTTGGGACTTTGTATTAGTCTTTTATGTTAACCAGACTGGAAAACTACTATTTCAGTCTTATGTCTGCGTACCTAAATGCTCAGAATGGATTATTAGCATTCTTTTTCATTATTTTTCTCTATAGGCATTTATGAAGCATATGTTGGACATAAAAATTTTTGCATGGGAAGGCAACCTACAACTTTGGATGGTACAGATATAGTAAGTTATATTGCAAGCTTTTACAAGTTGGAAAATTTTTTATTCAGTTGTGTTTTTCCTTTTATTTAATTAACTTCATGAGGTGGCTATGATATCAGTGATATCGTGTTTATTATTTTTATCCCTTGATTTAGTTGTCAATGTTTAATTAATGAGTACGTGTCGAGTTTATTTACTTCAGTATGTGTTCGTCAAACAAATTGTCTCAAAATTATGTGTACAATGATGGATTCTGTGTGTTCTATTTTGGGGAATCAACGAAGTTAAATAAAATCTCGAAGTAGACACTATCTAGGTTAATATGTTCATTGTATTTTTAACAATGACATCTTACATACCTTAATACGTGATCATTTAACTTTATTTCATTATAGGTCATCTTTGTGATGCCTTCGTCTAGTGCACGATGCGCACAACTTCCGCGTGCTGAAGATAAACTTCCATTCTTTTTAGCTTTAAGAAAACTACGTGATTATGTACGTGGTGATTTAGCTGAATTACCTGATTCCGAAGTAGTGTTCGCTGATTATACCGAATTTCGTGTCACTCAACCAGATCCAAAAAGTTTACGTAAAGCTGAACGACGTCGTAAACGAAAAGCTGAAGCGGCAGCAGCGGCCGCTGCTGCAGCTCTTGCTGTAAATTCTGGTGATGGAACTTTAGTGAATGGAATTGTTTCAAGTCAGGTTATGCCTAATGATAGCGCTAATGTTACAGCAGTTTCTCAAGCTTCAAATGGTGTATCCGTTGATGGTAAAGTAAAATCCAAAGCAAAACGTAAGTAATAGCAATAGAGTGTTAAATGGATCATAAATTCTTTTCCATATTTCGTTAAAAATATGTTCTTTCTATTATTTCGATTTAAATTTTATTGTTCTATGTAGAACTAATCATATTAAAGACGTTTCTCCAAGACAATATTAGGAATCACATTGATATAATACTAATCATAGCATTTTTCTATCAATATGATTACATACATATACATATATGGTAAACACTAGATTCGGCTAAATAAGCTGTAAATGATGGTTGTACTGTTTTTTAATGACCAACTGAAATGTATATTATTTATTCATCGGAAAATGTTAACATTTGTCAGCAAATTCTGTTTTTGATATTCAGCTTCATCCTATGTAAAGAATCAGTAGTTTTATGATCTATAAGTTAACTTCAATAAATGTTTTAAGAAAATGTTCAGGTCACTAGTATTCTACCATACTTTTCTTCAAAGCATCGCTCGTCTACTTTTGGACCATCGACCAAATAATGCTTAGGTTAAACATAGGGTACTAGATAAACATGGCAAATCGATTGAATAGATAGTAAATTCTCAACAACTGAGGTAGTCAGGATATATGTTATTTATACCCAGCCACCTCCTGTCTTGACGGACGACGATGTATAGTGTAGAATTAGGTCGAAAGGAAACTAGTGGCGGTTCAGAATCGTTTGTAATGGAGCAAGTGGATTCAGTCCCTACTCTTTATAGGACCAAAGTTTTGAGATCTCTTTATACCTTCCTTTTCCTTCTATAACTAGTCTTTTCTACTACTACTTATACTGTTATTACTCCTACTACACTGGGATTTGTCTTGAAGTAACTTTTCACCGATGCACATATATGTTGGTCTATGATGGACTGATTAGGTATATGTTTATTAAATTGCTTTAAACCACACCATGTTAATCATTATTGACATTTCATAGATATGAATGTTTAGCATAATTTGTAGGAATCAAAGATGGAAGCTGAATATAGAAATTATTTAATTCAAATATTATTTGATCCATCAAGGTTCTTCCCACAGTGTTATACAACAATATGCTATTGAAGTTGTAATGAGTAGTAGATGGTAATGTAATCAAGTGTAAGTCTATCCCCTTATCTTCATTCCGAACTTATTATGTAATTGTGAATGGTACTAACAAGGTCATCAAACATAAGTAGCAGGTACATGGTTAGAGTCTACAATCTGTAGGCTGATAATTATTTCAAGTACTGAACCACTGTAGCAAAACAATAGATCTCCTATCGGTTTGTATATTACACAACTCCATATTGTTAAGTCCCTAAGTTTATCCCTTCCAATTGACTAAATATAAAGTCAGATTCTCCCTAGTTTATGTGCTCTCCTTGATTTCTTGATCGTAATTTCAGTTTATCGTTTTTTATGGTCTGTATTTTTTAAAAGAAAAGAACTAAGATACAAACTAATGTAACAACTCGTCTGATTTCTTGATGAAACGACCTGAACTGATGGTGAGTGTGAGAAAAAACAGTATGAGAAACTTTAATTAATGATACTAATTATTTTCTCAGATATCTGTAGATAAGATTAGAATTTATCGGGTAGTGGTGCAAAAACATTTTAACCCAGTTTCAATTTAATATTAAGATAACCGAAAGTAGGATGGAAGAGTTCAATTAAGCAAGAATATATTAACTAATAAAGTTATGACAACATCTCGACAATGTGTCATACTAGTGTATTACTCATTTATTTATTCAAACACAATCATTGGTACAAGAAGGGATCAAATATATATGCGCCACACAAATCATTCGATGTGTAAGAGATGGAATACTTCTCGGACACCCGAACAGAAGCAAATAGTCTTATTAGGGGTCTAATCCACAAGGCAGTGAAACAAAGTTAGGAGTCTCAGTCCCATGGCAACCGGTTACCAACAATAGGTTCATACACCTTTTGTCCCCTCAGGAGATTGGAGCCCATGTGCACCATTGGTTTGGAATCAGGGTTTTTCAACTACCCTATGTGCATCCTCTCTGTCCACCAACCCGGTTAAAGCTCCGGACATTCGCTTTTCACCCTCTCAATTTCGTAAACAACACCACTGTGAGAAGGCAGTGAGTAGGACTTCCGTGGGAGTGGCTGTATACGCATGGCCATGTGAGAGCATTTTGAGAGAGAGAGAGAGAGAGTGGACTCTCCCCATCATCGACCGTACCAAGGCATTTGGGGGCAGGTTACTCAAGATCTTGTGTAACTATGTTTCTCTTTACGGACAATTTTATTTTGTTTTTTTAAAACTTTGTTCTGAATAATTAGTCTTTCCCACTGTTGCTGCTACAACTGTTTCAATTTCTTTGCCTCTTCTTCATCTTGTTTATTTCATTTCATCGTGGTGATATAGTGTAGCAACATGAGTCAAAGTACATTTTGTATATTAGATTTTACGTTGATTACAGCTTGACATGATATATTTTATTACGTAATTGTAGGATAGTTCCAACCTGTTATTATTAAAATGTGTCTCAATTTTGTCAGTTTAAATTCTTTCATTGGTTCTCATTCCCCTTGTACTATGAAGGACTGGGATTGATAATCCAATCACTAATATTTTTCTTCTGTATTGCTTACCTATGATTCAATTATTCTACTTCCAGTCATTTTATTATGGTTTTCTTATTTGTAATGATTTATACAACATGATTATATTAATCTGTTTTTACATGGATCTATACATGGTTGCCTAGTTGCAATATGATTGTCAGTTCCTATGAATTAACAATTTAATTAATATTGTTATCATTACTAATTCGTCCTAACTATGTCTCCATGTTAACTCACAGAAGATGTCAAAGATAAATTTAGTTAACAATTAGTAATGTATAAAGTCATTTGTTGTAGGTGTAAGTTCTAGATGTTCTATGAAACGTGCGTTGCCATTTTCTTGTCTCATTTCTTATCATAGCCATCCATCAATGTTCTTTTTAATCTATATTATTTGCCACTTTAACTGTTCACTTACCTTTTCACTTTTCAATATCGTCTAGTTCAAAACAATCAGTCAGTTTGATAGTGACTTGGAATTTAAACGAGGCAAGAATTCTGATATCTAATGGTTGTATGTGTTTGTGTGTGTGTAAATAACTTTGATTAGGTAATGACTATTTTAAAATACTAACTTATTGTAGTTCTCAAATTTGTCAGCGAATCTGTGAATTCTCATTAACTGAGGTGACTGAGACATTTTTTGCGTTTGCACAACCACTCCTTATTCTGATACACAGTGCTAGTTAGAGTAGGTAATAGGTTAGAAGAAAGCTAGTTAGTGTTATCAACATAATAATCATGATCAATAGCTTGAGATGTTGGATGGTATGTTTCGAAATCAGCTGCAGTGACCCGGGTGTATTTATTCATTATTTTCCCAGTATAATCCCATACTCCTCACCCTACAAGTTCATGCCTTTTTTCTTCGTAATTAATCTCATGCTACCGTTTATACTACTACTATATTATTTTGACGTTGTTTGCTGGAACAACCGTTCCTCAAGGTCCTACCATGTCAGACAGGTCAATCGAAGAGCGGCAAGACTAAGAGCAACAAACCCAAGGTCCGAAGGCGAAGTCGTACTGCTAACTGTACGGAGGTGTGACAGCAGTAAGGTGTTTCCTTCAGACAACCAGCATGCCAGCGATGCTGCCTTCCCACGAGGAGGAGTGGGGTTAGAAAAGGTCGACCCTAAAAATGCACATCTCGCCTTATACCACGGATATCCGTCTCCGGCGGTAAGGTCTCAACAAGTACGGAGCTAACACAAAAATTACTCATAACAAGGTGTGTGTGACCGACCTCAATCAGTTGTCCCTTGGGTACTGCGGTCACGCTCTCAGGTCACTAAGACCACCTCTAATCCAATTTCCTCTTCAGGTACCTCCAGAAGAGCCCTTCCATGGTGTGGGCAACGGGGAATTGATAACAGCACTCAAGACCACTGTATTCATAATCGACGTTGTTTGCTATTCGCCTCATTATGCTGATGTAGTATGTGAACTCAGACTTGTGCCCTAAGTCTTGCTTCATTTATGATTGACAAATTAAATGGCGTAATGTTCCATAGAAAGCAAATTCTCAACATTGTTTGCCTAGACATTTTCACTTTGTCTCCTAACGGTTTAGAATCGATTGTTATAAAATCCTCTTGGTCAGCTACATTTAATATTAAAACTAATCAGTTACTTCAAAACTTGAATTAGTTCCAGGAAGATATGTATATTGTTGTCTACATACGGAAGCGAAAGGTTAGAATCACTAATTATTTCATGGTGAAGTTAAATGCTAAAATGACTAATAATTAATTCCCAGTTTTGTATACCCTCCTCTGACTGCATGCTTTTGTAATTTTCCACCTACAATATACAATATTCAAATTTGTTTAAAAGATTCGTAGTATTATGATTACATCACCAATATATAGTTGTGTGAGATAGAGCAGAAGGTAGCTCTATTGTTGTTATTCAAATATACATAACATTCGCTAGACCTAGACTAATTGAAATTCTCTTTATTTAATTATGAAATGATAGGATGATTTACTTACTTACGCCTTTTACTCCTCGTGAAGGAGCATAAGCCGCTCACCAGCATTCTCCATCCAACCCTGTCCTGGGTAATTCTTTCTAGCTCCTTCCAGTTGTTATTCATCTTTTTCATGTCTGCTTCTATTTCCCGACGTAATATGTTCTTTGGTCTTCCTCTTTTCCGTTTCCCTTCACGATCCCAAGTTAGGGCTTGCCTCGTGATGCAGTTTGACGATTTGTATAATGTATGTCCTATCCATTTCCATCGTCTTTTCCTAATTTCTTCAACTGGAAGGATGATTTAGTAACTTCAAAAGTTTACTAACTCGCTCACCTTACTCTCCTGTATATAGTTCATCACTGTAAAAAAACTGTTATATTTATTCGTGTTTTTGCGGTATTTTAGTAGTATGGAAGTAGTATAATGCATTTTTCTTTCTTTATACACACTAATAGTTACTATCTACTCATTGTGTTCCTTTAATTTTTCACAAATTAATGATAAAATGCACTGTATACATACTAATCTGTCTCACCCTTGAATATTTCTATTCCTCTATCTTCTAATATTTCTGTGAACCTTGTGAAGTATAGAAGAAATATGGTTAGTTTCTCTGTTTCCTTTATCATTACTATTATTGTAATGATGATGATGATGATGATGATGATGATGATCTATTTTCGTGTCATTTCAACAGAAAAGATACAATATTCTGTACCAATATGGTGTTGATGATTATGCAAACAATAACAGATCTAATAGAAAATGGATAGAAAGCTAAATATTACTGTCCATTTATGAAAAATAATTCTTTACTAAGTATTTATACATATATATGTATGTAGTAGGAGGTTAGGTATATTCTCTTAACTTTTTCATTTCATTTCAATCTTATCATGGTATATATATATATAGATACACTGTATAGAGAGTGTTGCTATTACAAAAACCCTAACTTTGATCTCTCTCTTATCACACTACACACATACTCTCTCTCTCTTTCTCTTTGGTTAGATAGACGATTTCTATGTCCTGTCCCACCAGTTTGAACATTGACGATAATAATAATAATAATAATAATAGCAATACTAATGATTTCTACAACTAAATTTTCGTTTGTGTTGTCTCTTCTCTTTCTTTTTTTCTCCTGTGTTACCACTTCGCGTCATATTTTATTATTTTTAAAGATATTGGTTTAACTGAAGTTTTATACAAGTTCATTTGATGATTGTATTATGTGAATTTCTTCATTTCATGGTAAACTAACAACTAACTAACTAGCTTTGTTGTATTTCAAAATTCAAGCACATTTTGTACCTACTATCATCATAGGTCATTTAAATTATCAATGGGTTAAATATACAACAAAGTCAAATCTAAATATCGTCTCTACTCTGGGCTAGCAATTTAATCAGCTAGTCTATAAAACCGGTCAATGTTTCTATATTTCTCGTTTGTACACCCGAGGACAGTTATATATTCATTCTCTCTCTCTGTGTCCATATACATATGTATATATATTTAGGTCTAATATTGGCTTAGTCTTTGTCTTTCTATCTCTCTCTCTTTTCTTACCTAGTCATATAAATTGCATGTTCATTTTTATATCTGCCCTTTTACTTAGAATCAAAGCTTATTATTTTTGTTTATATGTATTACAACTAGTTTATTTGCGTGTATATTTCATTTGTCTGCCTCCTTTGGTGTATGGTAGAGAAAAAAGGTTAGACCATAAATTGTATGTTTGTTTGTCCAATTTTCTCTCTCTCTATTATTATAGGTGAGTGATACATATATACATATAACTATGTTTACTGTTGTTATGCTTTTATCGATTTAGCCTTGTGGTCTACTATGTCCTGCCTTTCCCCTTAAGCTTTCATTCTTTATTTCATTTTAATACATATATTGATAGAATTTTTCTAACTTTGTCTAATCTCCATTCGATGTACTCTGTACATAATTTAATCTGCAATAATGAAAAAAACAACAACAACAATATTATTATTATTACTATATTCAATTGAGACAACGTTTTTACTGGCTGATGTATAAAAAAAAGCCTGTGTCTGGTTATCTCAACTACCCCTTATTATTAATAATAATAATAATACTGTGTTACTAATTATGGTGGTAGTTAAGAGGTGCATGTACTCACAATGCTTTTCAGTAAAATTCACATGTGAATTAGGTATTAGTAACAATAGACTGGGAAAATGTTTCCTGTCATGTCTCATCTCTAGGAGAGAAATAATGAAAACTGACATGTTTCTACAGTATTTGCCTAATTATTACTTTCTTTATTTTCTTATTTATTTCTACCATATATGAATCTGTTTTATTATGACAATCGTTCAGATTCGAACTGCCTGTACATAAATGAATAATTATGGTTATAGAATAGTATCTCTATGTTGTCTTACGAGGTTGGACACAAAAACTGTTCAGCTCACACTGTATGATATTTTTAACGACTGTGTTATCGGTATCATCAATCTAGAGTTGTCATTGCTAGAGAACTCTGTTAATTACAACTTTGTATTACAGTGGGTTTTTTTCTCGTGTTTTCTCATATTCCTTCACCCTTGTTCACTTTCTGTCTGTCTGTTAGCTGGATGTATCTTTGTCCCAAAATTCATGTTCACTCTGGAATCCAAACCCAGTAACGTTTTTTTTCTTTTCAAACGACAACACGTTATCTATCGACTTGTTTAGTTATTTCAAGTAGCCACTTATTTGTACAATCAGTATGAATTCGATTCCTTACAAATTAAACTAAAATTCATATCTATTGCATAAGTGAGTAGTTATTTGGATTTCAGTAGCTAAGTGGATAATGCATTGGTATTTGGAACAAATGATACTGGATTCAAATCCTATAGCCAATATCAACACTTACGCCTGTTACCTCTCGTGGAGAAGCATGGGTCGCCGCCCACCAGCATTCGCCATTCAACTTTGTCCTGATCAATCTTTTCCAGTTGTTATTCATCCTTTTCTTGTCTGCTTCCAATTCTGGACGTTGTGTGTTGTTTGGTCTTCCTCTTTTCTGTTTCCCCTCAGGACTCCAAGTTAGCACTTGCCTCGTAATGCAGTTTGATGATTTCCACAATGTTATATCTTATCCACTTCCAACATCTTTCTCTAATTTCCTCTTCGGCTGGAGGTTGGATCAACTTTGAGGTATATATTCAACTGAATTATCTAAAATAAGATAAAATGTGAATTTTAGACACCATTAATTTAATTACATTCCATCTATTCTATTTATAAGCATATGACAATTATATTTAAGGTGATCTGTAAACAATACACACATGTATATACCAATTAAGATGAATAAAAATTCCATTAATAACAGAATAATCTAAATGTATTTTTGTATTAAATTTTCTTTTAAATAGCTAAACGTAAAAAGTCATCCAATAATATTAATAATTCAACGGAACAATCATTACAACAAACTACATCCATACAACAAATTATGAATGTAACCGGTATTACTACAAATAATACAACTGGTATAACATTTACAAATTGTACAACTGATTTACAATTACAACATCAACAACATGTCTTACAGCAACAAGTCCTACAACAACAACAACAGCAACAACAACAAACATTTCTTCTGCAACAACAACAACAACAGCAGCAGCAGCAACAACAACAACAATTCCAACAACAGTTCAGTCAACAATCTGTTCAACAACAGCAACAACAACAAATTTTACAACAGCCACAACCACAACATCAAATGATTGTTAGTGCTGGTGGTCATTTTATGTCTACTACACCAATGGTCACTTTGTCAACAATGGCAGCAGCAGCGGCGGCGGCTGCCGCTGGTGGAACAGCTACAGCTATACCTGTTCATCCTGGTATGTAAAATATAATGTTTATGTGCGTGTATATATAATTAATTAACTCTCGTAGATCAAAGTTATTATTCGTTTCTGCTCTTGTCTATCCACTTATATATGTATTTGAACACATAAACCTTGGTACAAGGAGGCACTAAATTTAAATGCTTCACACTTCGTCATTCGATTAGTGTAAGGGATGGGATAATGTTCGGGTGCCCAAATTGAAGCAGATGGTTTTCTGAAGCAGCCACTCCCCAAAACGTTGATCTAGAGGTCTAATCCACAAAGCAATAGAGCAACGTTATGAGATACATTCTTATGGTAGCCGGTACCAGCAATAGATTGATGCTCCACTTGTTCCCTCGGCATCCTGGAGCCGATGTGGAAAATTAATTTGGAGTTAGGGTTTTCCAACTCCCCTGAATGGATCTTCCATATCCACCAACACGGTTGAGGCTCCAGATATTCGCTTTTCATCCTCTCATTTTGGTAGACAGTATTCCCGTCACGAGAAGGTAGTGAATAGGACTTCCGTGGGCGTGGCTGTACACGCGTAGTCATGTGAGAGCATTTGGAATGGGAGAACTAACTCTCCCCACCATCGACCGTACATGGGCATTTGGTGGCAACTAAGATAATTGAATGTTGAATTAGAACAAAAATAGTTCCTTCCATATTATTATTATATCCTAAGGATATTAGATCAGTTGATTCTTAATAATTAAGATGATTATCAGCATGGGAATTTGTGAAGATTACAGTAGTTTCAGTTGAATTCACGAGTTGATTTAAGATAAACTACCACTGAGAACCTGGAAGCACTGGACTGCCATCTCGTCCTAGTATGAGACCCCTCAGCAGTGCGCATCCACGATGCCTCCCTGGGTTCGAGTCCCGCATGCGGGATCGTGGATGCCCATTACAGACCATTATGATGTTGAGAATTCTACTACTACATTAATTTCAATTTATGCAACAGAATATTATCACTAATCAGTCAGTCAGTTAGTAACAACGTAGAACTTCGCACGTACGTACATCAGTTCGAGTTGCCATACCACATTAGCACAGAGATGCAGTGGTCGATTCAAATCCCGTAGTGGTAGAGGTAGTAAGAGTATAAACAGTAATCGGAAAGATTAGGGTTTGAAGATGTTATTTAAAGAGTATAATATAGTGAAATGAACTTGGAAAGAGGAAAAAAAGGGATATGAAGAATTCAGAAGATTAGAATTTGGGAGAACACAAAGAGCGAGTGCACCTGCGCCATTGCAAACCATTTTGAGCCATGTCATTCAATGTCTCTAACCATCGGTTGCTATCGTCTCTCGGTCCCCAACCAGGTAGTCTACATCTACCAACATGACTCAGTCCACATGTCAGTGACTTCATGGACTTGTGCCATGTTTTGGTTTGGCCGCCCCTAGCTTTCTTCCAACCTACTCCTATACCACTGAACATCGCACGTCGAGGCAGTCGGTCGTGGGGCATACGTAACACGTGTCCCAGCCATCTCAACTGATGAAGTTTCACTACTTCATCAATGGATTTGCCATCCTTACCTATTACCCGTTTCCTAACAACTGCTTTACCTACTCGATGATCCCGGGATATACGAACAATGTTTTGAAGACACCTATGATCACATGCTAGTAACCTACGAATATCCTCTTCGCTTACTGGCCATGTTTCACTGCCATAAAGTAGGACGGAACGAACCGCTGCACAGTAAACCCGTTCTTTGATTGGTAGATGGATATCTCGCCTGCGCCATAAATGACACAAGCTCACAAAAGCTAGTTGAGCCCTCTTCACCCGTGCTGAAATTTCGTCACACACTAGACCACAAAAGCTGATGAGACTTCCAAGATAATTGAAGCGGTCGACACACTCAACTACTTCACTCCCTATCACTAGTTCGGGTGTCGATGCAACCCAATCCTGAAGCAACATTTCGCATTTCGAGGGGGAGAATCGCATCCCGAACATGCTTGCATTGTTGCTTAGAATGGTCGGAAGACTCTGTATTTTGTCAGCGTTTTCACCAAATAGAACTGTGACATCGGCATGTTCTAAGCCAACAAGTGAATCTCTCGAGAGATGTTCAACCCCTGGAAATTTAGATGAAGAAATTGTCATTTCTAAAGGCACGTCAACGATAATGTTCTGATACGATAAATTGTTTAGTGCTAGCCATATGTGTACTTGAACGTGGATTTGATTATTGAAAAGGTTGAATGAAGTTCCTAAATCAATACTTTTTTATGCAGCTTGTCTTCAGTACATAAGTAAACAAATAGATATGTCGATGTGTTTGGACCTTAGTGCTAGTTGTTCATATTGGTAAATTAATCAGTAGTAGTTGTTGTTATTGTCGTCATGCATATATGTGATCAGTTTCACTCTAGAAAGAACAGGAGATTGGATAGCCTGTGTTAGTCCTGCCAGCTAGGGTCTCTCAGGTGATCCAACTTTCTTTTAAATGCGTCGAATGATGAAGTTTCAATCACATGTTGAAACAGCGAGTTCCATTCATTAATGAGTTTATGGAGAAAGTCATTAGTCAAGTAACAAGTAATTTGTTCTGGTCCTGTGAATTTTTTTAGTGTCCTCATAAATTATTTGAAAGTTTAGATACACTAAACCTTTTAACTGTTTAGGTGTCACATGACTTTCAACTGGATTTTCGTTGTAACCTTCGTTCCATAGACCAATGAATTAATACATTGAAAATAAATACTTTCTAGTTAGAATAAAGATAAAGCATTAAAGTATGTGTAAGTATTTTCCTCAACTGTCTTAAAATATTAGACGTATCATAGGGGATCATGCTCAGTTTCTAACTGACCATATCAAAATTCTCTTGAAAGATAGGCGGAAGGTTTGTTTTAGGTATTGCTACATTGAATAAAATATGGTACTTGTGAACACTGCCAATATGCCCTATACTAGGACAGAACACCTGTCTCCTCTCTGATTTTCATTGGTACTCCAACTGACAATTTCTGAATATAATCGATTGATAAGAAATGAGTATGAGGCTTAAATTTGTTAATTTCGCTACATGGTTGAGATGTACACGTTTTTTTCTTTACTTGCAGTCATTAGATTTGGTTCTTGCTCGGGTAGTTATTTAAGAAACCTTGAGATCAACAATTCAAGGATATGTATTACTTATACCCATCCATCGACTTCCTCGATGCATGATTATGGCTGATGTGGGAATAAGTCATAAGAAGGCTAGGGGCGGCCAAATAAACACATGTTATCAGTTCATGAAGACACTGGGTATTAAACTGAGCCATGTAGTTATATTCATACTACCTGATTGAGGTCCATGTGATTATAGTAACCAATAGTTGAATTATTCGCAATAGCGCAGGTGCATGTACTCTTTGACTTCTCTTGGATCCCAAGTTTCTAAATTGCTCAATTTTTTTACTTCACCGGATTTATATTTCCACGAATAATATATTTAATGCCTAATCTTTTTCATTACTATTATTACTCTCACTACCTCTACTATGGGCTTTTTCTTGACAATTTCATTGCAATATTTTGATGGCGTATGACACTTTGAACCGATATATATATATATATATGCCAGGTTCTACGTTTGGTTTAACTGACATTACTGTTAACATTATTAGCTTCAGCTCTCATGTTGTTTCTTCTTTCACAGTGCCCCGTATTCAAGCAAAGCAACTTGAGCCCTGTTTGACATATAACGTCTAGAAGAATTTTCAATTTGTTCAAGATAAACAACATTCCCGTCACGAGATGGCAGTGAATAGGACTTCTCTGGGAGTGACTATACTCGTGGCCATATGAGAGTATTTCAAGAGAGCTCTCCCCATCATCGGGCTCACCAGGGCATTTGGGGGGCGTATATATCCCTAGAGTTGTATTGTCTAACTCACTTATGTATATTGTTATTTAACTGTTATAGATTAAACGTAAAGTAACTGTTTATTTTGATTATCATGAAATCAATATAATGTTTGAGTTTATTTTATTACTTTGTAAATAGGTGGTACTCAAACAGCTGTAGCATCGGGTTGTTATGCTGCTGGTACGCCACAATTCCAATTTTCTAATAATCATCCAACTGGTACAGCACAACAATTTTTTATTAGTCCACAAGCTTCAAATTTATCTGCAGGTAATGGTGGTAATACTGGTAGTGGTGGTCAAACACTTTTGCAATGGTCTACAACTCCATGTACTCAAGGTGTTCCAACAACTGTTCAATTTCAACAGCCTAATCAACATCAACAACAGGGAATTGCTGGAACTTGGCCAAATGTCTCTACTATTTATCATCAACCACAACCACAACAAATTGGTACAGCTATCCAGTCACCTTCAGGAGGAGCTGGTACTCCGACAGCTGGACATACACAGCAGCAACAACAGCAAATGTTCACACAACAACCAGGAGCTATGCAACAAGCTTCAATTCAAATGGCTCACCAAGCACAACAGCAATTATTATTTACATCACAACATCCAGTTGGATTACAAGCAGCCGCTACTGGCGGTGCTCCACAAGCAGCTTATCCACAACAAGTGTATTTGGCACAGGCCCCTGCTGGTAAATTTTATTTTGATCATAATACATATATATATATATATATATATATATATATATATATATATATAACTAAGTTGGAAAGCCGATTGGCTTTTCAAGACAAGATAAAAGCTGTTGAAGACTGGAGTGCTGGAGAAAGCAAAGAAAATGGACTAACTACCAGTATATTTTGATATAGTTCGTGTCTAAGTAGAAATTGGTGGGTGCGGATAATCCACATAGGGGAGTTTGAAAATTCTAATATTTAACCAATGTTCCACATGCGCTTTGAGATTGTAAGAGGAAAACAACGTATGAACCTATAGCTTTGAAAGCTATAGCTAATATATCAGTATGGAACGTGGTACAAACGCAAAAATGTTACATGTATATATAGAGTGCACACGTCAAGGATATATACTGTTCATAGTACACAGATAGGGGTAGGTGCGATTTACCTCAGGCTGCAGCCCAGCGGCAGTGAACGATAAATAAATTACTAGCGTTCAAATTATTTAAGCGGGGAAAGTCGTATATTGACGATATGCTGCTTCACACTCATACCACAAATAAATTTAGTGTTGACCCCTCCGCACTACTGGTTACTACAGTTTATGGGCATTCTCTTTGGTTTGCACGTGGCCTGATAGGCCTTCATAGAAATAATCCAATCATACACCAATAGGAAAATTCTTTCTTCAGTTTTGCATTTCATTTTTATCTATACAATACACACCTTTCTGATAATTCATAATAAGACAGGGTAGGGGACTAACCTGATCTCGTCTTTGTCGCTCAAGCTAGTTCATTAAATAAAGGTTCCACTACCTTCAGGGTATTACGCAGATAAATAAGTCGGATATTAGCCTGGAATCATGTTGATACAGTATAATGTATTTGTGACGCGGAATCGGTTCTATTCAGGTGTTTTTCCATAAAGAGAAGTGAATTAACTCAATTCACTGTACTACTATCTAGTTAAGTGATTACATTAAAATTAATCATTTTGATTCTCAATGTGTTCTGACTAAATATGGCTAGAAGAGCATAAACGATAAAGTTTCATGTTAAGATGTTTCTAGAAAACTACTGTGATAAATTAAATGAAATAAAGTATGGTTCTATATCATTTGACTTTTAGTGAAGTTCTGGATTCACTTCGTTGGATAGTTTTTAGACAGTCAGCCAAAAGTAACGTACAAGTTAGTACATATATACGATGATGCAAGTTGCTACACTAAATAAACACGATGTAAAATGAAATCTACTAGTCTAGAAATAGTAAAACTGTCAAGATATATGGTGGAAAATTCAGACAATGAAGAATACTGGTTTGAGGAATGCAAAGTATGAAGTAATACTGAAGTTCAATATTTGGACGTGCTTCGGTTTGGGTACCCGGGCAGTATCACAGCCCTCACACATATCGAATAAGATTTGTGTGGCGCATATGTATTTGGTGCCTCTTTGTACCATTATCTATGTGTTGAAATAAATAAATAAATATTTGGAAGTAGATAAAGATTATCATCTGTGGAACTGTAACGTCTACAACTACTAATCACGGTTACCGTACAAACCCTAACCTGATTGTTGAACCTTGTCAATTCCTCTCAGTCAATAATTTCATAGACTAATTCAATATCTTGGTTTGTCCTGGTTTAGTTTTATTTCAACCTATTACTACTTCAGGTAACATTGTGTGTGTTGTAATTAGCCGTGGTTGAAGCATATGTAATATATAGCCTAATCATCTCAGTCGATGAAGATTCTGTACCTCACTAATTCATTTCACTAACAAAATTCAAATGTTATTTTTGGTAATACTTGTAAGGTGTTTATTGAAAGTGCTATTATTAGTCATGCTTAAAGTTGTTAATAAATCTGTTAGTTGAACGCTTGATACGATTTCCTAGCTGCTTCTAATAATCCCAGACTAAACTGACATGGCAACTTGAACACAAAAGAAAAGGCGTAAAGTGAAAATGAGCGTTACTCTTATCTAAAAATATGTATATAAAGTTGTGCCTACTATTTAACGTGACATCGGTCGCTTGGAAAGCTCTGGTGGTACAATAAATGTAACAAAGAGAAGATAATTACCTAATCAAAAAAGTAAATGTGATCTGTCATTCTAGATGTTTTGAAGAAACTCCCATTGTATCCTGATTGGACAAAATATTTTTAAGCGTTTTCTGGGCTTCTATTGATTTGTCTGAGGACTATTTGGAGACATTAATTCATAAAAAAGAGTGAAATAAGTGACTTTATGGTTGAATCAACAGTTATTCTTAAACTGTTTACTTCTCTTCTTGTTGAATTAATATTTGTGTTTGATAAGCGATTAGTTAAAAATATGAAATAAATGATTATTTATATAAAATATTTCTTATAAATTGTTAGTTTACAAAGTATGGGGATTTGTGGATACTGTAAAATTTTGATAGTTGAATTCATCAGTTGATCTAAGCTAGTCTACCATTGAGAACCTAGAAGCATTGGACGGTCGTTTCATCATAGCATGGGACTCCTCAACAGTGCGCATTCACAATACCGAACCCAGGGCCTTCGGTTTTGCGCGAAAACACTTAGCTACTGAGCTGGCATCCAACGGTGTTAATGTCTAACTTCAGTCGACCCATGATCTTGCACAATCCTTCATCGATTGTCTGAGGTAGATAAATGTCTCACGTCCTATACGGATTGGGCTCCACTGGTCACGGATTCTCACTAGAACTCCTAGAATTACGTCTCTAAGCTAGTCACAGGTATGCACATGATTATTATCAGAATCGAGATTTGTGGAGGCTTTCAATGACGGTTTAGATTAGATCGACTCATGAATTCAACTATTAAAATAAATAATTGATTTACTTTTTTCTGTTCAGAATAATTATATGGTAGTATATATCATATTAACTTTAAAAAAAAACTTTTATTCTATATCATAGGTGCTAACGGTGCAGGAACATCATATCATCTACTTCCTGTTGGTTGTCCTGCTTCGAATTTCACAAGTTTATTATTATCCGACCAACAACACCAGCAACAACAAGCATTAACACAATGCTCTACAGCAGCAACGACTGGATTACATCTTCAACGAGGACAACCTACTGTTCAAATTCAAACACAACAACAAGCATATCAACAAACTCAACAGTTTCAACAACATCAACAAATTCAAGCTCAAACGCATCAATTACAATCAACACAACAACAAGGTACGATAATGTCTACTGATAATATTACTGGTCAAACTACTGGTCCCATTGGATATTCTAATAATAATACTCCACAATTTATTACATTAGCACCAGGTGCTCCATTAAAAGTTATGGCTGTTGGTCCAAATGGTCAACTTATTCAAACTACTGGTTTACCACAGTTTATGCCAACTGGACCAGTTGGTATGACTATAAATCACCAACCTACAGCATTACAATCAAATCAAACATCGATTACAGTGACTCCTCAACGTCGTGTTGCTACACCTCAACAACAACAACAACAGCAGCAGCAACAACAACAAACAAATGGACGTATAGTATCGACTGCTTCAACAGTAGCAGGATTTTTCTCTGGGACAGCTATTTCATCCGGTACAATTCCACTTGTACAACCAGCCGCTGGTATAGTGGAAGATCTAGTACAAACTACAAATAATACTAGTTTGAATACTGCATTAAGTACAGGAGATGAGAAATTAGTTTACACAGCTTTATAATAACTGTCTTTTATATATATATATACATTATTTACAGATATGATGCATTTTTCTATCGATTTGACTAGAAAAAATTGTTTTCCTTCTTCAAAGAAATTTTCTTTTGTTGTTAAGCACAAAACTCTATCAAACAACAACAATGACATTCATATTGATATCATTGTGTACTACTACTCTTCACGGATGTATAACATCGTCCAATGTGTTTATTTATTATTTAATGAAGAAGAAAACAAATAAATAGGATACTATCTATCTATCTATCAATCAGTTTTTACCATGTCTTCTTCTCAATCTAATCATCATGTGTAATTTCACAAATATGATTTCTTTCTTCCTTTTAAATGTCATAGAATAGACAATCATTTTGTTTTATTTCTTCTTTTCATTTCTTCACTCTTGTCTCTTTTACCTGTTTACATTTTGGCTTTTTTACATGTGTAATAATTATGAACATTGGTGATGTGATAATCACCATCTTGAGGACTCTATGGGTGTGTGGGGGGGGAGGGGGGAGGGAGAAAGAGACACCATCTTGATCGGTTGATTTCAGTGTATTTTTATTATTTTTTTTTTAAAATTCCAATGCAACTAAATCTAGTCGTTGTTTCTACCTCGTTGTTGTCATCGTTTCGTTCTGCTTTTTTTCTAAAGACTTTTATTATTATTATTATCACTTTCTATTCAACAGTGATTTAGTTTGATATATATATATAAAGACATGTATTTATCTATCTATTCCATTCTGATTCTCTTAGATCTTTGCTTATTTTTTATTATTTCAACATTCTTTACAATTTATGTATACTTCAAGACTAAATGCATTTGTTGTTTTCTTTCAATTTATCAATGTAAATGAAAATAGGTTTATATGTGTGCAAAAACAAAATTACAAACAAATGACATATTTCCCGCCAAACCATTTTTTTTTAAAGCAACACGGCGGATAAATCGGAGCACAATTGAACTATTGAACTTCTCATTCGCTATCTCTTTTTCATGATGTTATTTATTATTGTTTAGTGTTTACTGTATACATTTTAATGTGCATATATATATATGTGTTTGTGTGCATGCGTGCGCGTGCGTGCATATGTGTGTGTTTGTGTATTTGTGTTTCATACATTTTCGTTTTCTTCTGTAAAAATCTTTTCTCCTTTTTTTGTTTTGTTTATTCAATGATGGTTTTTATTATTTGTTGTAATCGTTTGTTATTGCTCTTTTTTTTTTAAAACCATTTACCCCTTTTTACCGTTTTTTATAGAATAAAATTAGTATTATGTAAATAATGTGCATAGAAATAATGAAAGAAAGAAAGAAAGAATCATTTGTGTATATTATCTCTTCTCTATATGTATTTGCTTATATATTCACTATTTTGATCCTGTTCATCTTTTATTTTCCTTTCTTTTATATATATACTAACGATAATAATAATAATAATGTAATATTTATTTTGACATGTATTCTACTTATAAAGGATATATTCCATAGATATAGAGAGTTCATTATTTGCGTGTGGGCTGCGGTACTGCCCGGGTGCCCAAACCGAAGCAGGTGGTTATCTTAGGGGGCCACACCCTGAGCCTTTGACCTAAAGGTCTAACCCACAAGGCAGTGGAGCATCGTAAGGAGATGCAGTCCAATGGTAGCCGGTGATCAACGATTGGTTCATACGCCTTTTGTTCCCGCAGGATACTGGAGCCCATGTGCACCATTGATTTGGTTTGGGATCCATTTAAAGCGCCGGACATTCGCTTTTCGTTCTCTCAATTTCATAAACAACACCCCCGTCACGAGAAGGTAATGAGTAGGGCTTCTCTGGCAGAGGCTATATACGCGTGACCATGTGAAAGCATTTGGAGAGGGAGAGCGAACTCTCCCCACTCTCGGCCGTACCAGGGCATTTGGGGCATCGGTTCTAGTTGCCATACATCATTAGTACTGTTGTATCTTGTGGACCGCAGATTTAGATAGCAGCGAATTTATCGATCGGACCAAAGACGCGTAAAACACGCAAGAACGACTTGGAGTCCTGATTGGCCCTGCTCCATTGTCTAGCCCAGCCAGTTGAGTCCAGAACGCAAGTCTCAGCCTCTGAGATATGAATCATTTCAAACATACTCTGTTTATATACCAATCAAGCAGACCATATCGTACCATAAAATAGAAAATAACATTTGTATAATATTTGGCCAACAGGAAAAATGATACGTGAAATAAATATTCACCAATAGGAAAATGATACCATCTCAAGTTCAAGAATAGCATTAGACTTAGTAGAATAATTTTTGGGATATTTTCCTGAATATCCCAACAAGATGATTACCAAATTCATAGCAGTGGTTACTTCAATGACAGTAATATATAAGGATATAATAAACGGCGGAAGAGTTAGTTCGTAGAAAGAAAAGGAAAGACAAGGATTGTATACACCTACGCCACTGTGATATATATATATATATATATATATATATATATATATATAAGTTGGAAAGCCGATTAGCTTTTCAAGACAAGATAAAAGCTGTTGAAGACTGGAGTGCTAGAGAAATCAGAGAAAATGGACTACTTACCAGTATATTTTGATATAGTTCGTGTCTAATTAGAAATTGGTGGGTGCGGATAATATATGTAGGAGAGTTTGAAAATCCTAATATTTAACCGATGTTCCACATGTACTTTGAGATTCTAAGACGAAAACAACGTATGAACGTATAGCTATAGATAGAGCCATTGGGATCGATTCTGAGCTATGTTACCTCGAGTATCCAAACATTATTTACTATAGTCACTTAGTCCTCAACCAAATAGTCTTCATCTACCAACATGGCTGTCTTAGTAATATCTTTTTAGGTTATATGTTACGTTCTGGTGATTCCAATTAATTGTCAGTTAATAGAGCTCATTTTTAAGTGGATATGATTAACCGTTCAAGTGGGCGAAAGTGTAGTTTTTACTATTCAGCTTTTGGTAAATTTGCGCATTTAGCGTAATGTTAGTTACAATGTTCACTGAAGAAGTTTTCACAGTAGTTTGTTTGTGAGAATCTGAAAGTGAAAACAATAAACGAAAAAATTGAGCTGACAACTCAGTCGAACACTTCTAATAATAACAGTAATTAATGACAATTAATAATGACCCTAGTGTGAAATTAAAAATATGTAATAATGAAGACTAAAAATTGATAGAGCAAGATTACGTTGCAAGTTCGTCTATTTGCAGTTGTTTATTTAAGTATTTTTAGCATTTCAGTATCGATGACTTCAAAATGTTGTCCAGTAGGATGATTACGATACACAAGTTGATGCTTAGAATGAAAATGAATGATTCACAATGAAACTATCCATCTCATAGAACGCAAAATCGCTGTAATCATTCAAGTTGTAATAAAATTGCCTTGAATTTCAAAATGACTATTAAGCTAGATGACAATTGACAGTATTAAAAGTTAAGAAGTGTTTCAACTTATTTTCATAGCTATAAATTCCTAAACAAATATGATAAACAAAGATGGATAGTGGCTAGCAGTTGAATCCAGGACGCGCGTTTCGTCCTATTTGCGACTCGTCAGCTGGATGTACCTGCATCTCAGAGTTGATGTTCACTCTGGAACTCTATTGCACAAGCAAGTGGCTATAAGGACTCAGTAGCTGAGTGGATAACGCGATGGCGTTTGAAGCGAATGGTACTGGGTTCGAGTCCCAGAGTGAACACCAACTCTGAGATGCAGGTACATCCAGCTGACGAGCCCAAAATAGGACGAAACGCGCGTCCTGGATTTTACTGCTAGGCACTATCCATCATTGCTTATAAGAGCCTGTGAATTAAAGCGATTTCGAGGTATACGCACAGTATGCACATATGCCAATAACATACTGATCAAATGCAGTCTTGAACCTCAATGGGAAGATACAGGCAAAACAATACCAAGTGAAACATGATAAAGCTTCGTGATATTATCATTTTCTAGTCCCAACGAATTAAAAATGAAATGTCATTGAAATCGTGAGTCGATCTTAGTCAAACCACCGTTGAAAACTCGGGAATATTGGACAGCCGTTCCGTTCTAGTATGGAACCCCTCAGCAGTGCGCATCCATGATCCTGCACGCACGAACTCAACCAAGGACTTTCGGTTTTGCTCGCGGCAACGCAACTTTTAAACCTCTGAGCCGGAGTCCAACGGTAAGACGGTTACCCCTCGAAGATAGTGAAAGATGGCCACACAATGTCGTCGATTGAAGTTAGTTATCGACACCATTGGATGCCGGTAGTTTGGCATCTATCGGCTGAATAATCATGTACTGAGAAAAATGAAATGGTCAAAACAACATTCTATGAACGTTTCAAATTCAGCTCATTGATATCTAGTTCTGTTGCATAGCTACTGTTTGACACTATCTCTGCGGTTGGTTTCCAATTTATCTTTAGAAATATTTGTGATATCCAACATTCTATCTATACCGAATGCTAATTCAAGAAGCTTAACCATGTGTATTGATTATATTGGGCCTGTTTTGTCTGAAGTATCGTGAATACAGCGAATTCTAAATTTTTCTTGAATGTATCTGAGTCTTCAACACAGTATTGCAAATTGGTTGGATTTATAAGTGTAAATTATTGGTTTCCTACTCGTTAATCTAAAAAATAGACGGTCGATGCGAGACCTGACGATGGTGACCTCCTGACTTATGACTTCGTGGATAAGCACTTCTGAGAAGACCTATACTAGTACGAGACAACTATCAAGTGTTTCCTAGTTTCTAATACTTGTCTAACTTAAGTCAATTCATCATGTAACACAATGAAACTCAACAATATTCATAGTCATCTCGCAAACTCTATTGACTTATGTACATTGTGAGAAGTTATATGGATAATTCTTTTTAGTAACAACTTAAAGGCATTGATCGCTTGTAAGGCTGAATCTTATTGATAATAGGAATGTATTCAAACAGTTAATAACTTTATATGACATTGTAATGTGGATTAGTAAACAATTGTGTTATTAATAAAAATTCATATGTAATTCATAAGAATAAGTTACTAATAAAGATGAAAGTTCTTAAAGGTGAGTATTACAGTCGAACAAAGTAGTTGTGTGTTTTTTTAAATGTCAGAACCGGTTAAAATCAAACAAAAAGATTATAATATCAATAGATGAAATCATGAGTCAATTGAAGCTAGATCACCATGGAAAACCTGGAAGCACTGAACGGCCGTTTCGTCCTATTGTGGGACTCCTCAGAAGATGGAAACCAATTGACCTAATTTTACATCTGTTGTGTAAAAAGTAGTTTGTAAACATTTTTGTTACTACGATTGTCAAATATTTGAATTGAAACGAAATTTTTTTTCGTGCAGTTTTTGTTGGGGAGTTTTGAAATGCTTCCTGGAAAAGTTTATAGAAGCCAAGTAAACGCTTGAAAACATTTTGTCCAATCAGGATAGAATAGAAGTTTCTTCAAAAGGTCTAGAAGGATGACTGATCACATGTTAATTGCCTTCTCATTGCTATATTTAGTTTACCGTGAAAACTTTCCAGACGATCAGGGTCACGTTGAATAGTACGAATACACTGACATCCTGTATTACCTTAATTTTGGAGTAAAGCTCTTTTTTCACTTTACGCCTTTTCTCTTATATTCAAGTTACCATGTCAGTTTAGTTTGGAATTATTAGAAGCGGCTGGGAAGTTGTATCGAGCTCCCAGTTAGTAGATTAGCCATTTTCAGGATGTAAGGTAGTTGGAGTTAGTATACAGGAAATCCTGGTTAACCTAGGTTTGGTTTTAATTTATGCCCAGTTTAGTGACATAACTGAGATCTTTAAGGAATTAGTAATTGCTGGTTGATTCGAACCTGGATCAATCAAATTCACGGTTCAAAACGTTACTACTAAATTATTCGGGTCGTAATTGATTTGGAAGACTAATTGGTGATCAATGTCAAGTCCTTTAGTTCTGAAACCTGTATCTGTAGGTTTCTTGCCAACTACCTCTAACGATCTAACATATCAAAATTGTGCATGTGATAGAGAATCACTTAATCTAATGGCTACATTGCAATTTGACCAGCATAAAAAAAAAACAAACAAAGCATGACAGCAGACCCCACTCACTGATCAATCTTTTATAGACTATCAGAATAGTTATCAGCAATAAAATACCCAATAAAGTCGATTGATTAAAAGTAGAAACAATGATTTTGTAATGTATAAGTATGAAAATGGGAGTATTTTCTTGATTATCTAGATTTTAGGGTCAATACGATCTCAATATATAGTTCCCGCAGT